ACGTACTATACCGTACCCTACCTTACTTACGTTAGTTATTTTACTTATACTTAGTTTAACCCTAACTACGTATGTTAGCATATATACGATATATATATATATATATATATATATATATATATATAGTATTCTTATTTTACCTCCAGTAAGAAGTCTAACTACATAAAAATTTTAGTGTTTCTTTCTTTATTTTATTTTTTTATTATTATTTTTGTATTTTAAGTGGTTCAAAAGTTGCACTTTTAAACTAGAGATAAATTGAAAAAACAACTAAAAAATTTTGGACTTTGTAATAAAATATTAAAAAATCTAAAGATGCTTTCACATGTTTCCAATAGACCGATCATAGCTCCCGAGCACTATCGGAAGGAGGAGACTCGGTGTGGGGTGTATTAAGCCCGGTTGAGGTAATCTCCGGCACTCTCTTTTTGTTTCTTATCATATTTAATTATATTGCTTTTTTTTTCCAAGCATAAGAATTGTGTATATATTTTTTGTTTAAAGAAAATTATTTTAATGACATAAGATTTTTAAGACCTTGGATTTTTTAGTTTTATTTTATTTGAAGCAAAAGTTATTGCAATAAAACTACGATCTTTACCGAAAGAAAACAAAAGAGCTCAAAAAAAAAAAAAAAAAATATATATTCCCTGACAAGCTCATATTAGTCTTTCTATCATTGGTATAGCAAGAGGCATGTACCGTGCATTATTTATCACTATGATTACATTCCAGATGCGACATGTTCATAATTTTTCTTCAATCTTTTAGGCCATTATAATTTTTTTCTTTTCAATTTTTTGCTTTTTTAGTTCTTAGTGGAAGCACCTAGACACCCATCTTGCTTTTTCTACAATTAAATATTCAAAATGTAATATTTCATAAAAAATTGAAGTGCTGGTTAATATTGCAAGAGGAATGATGGTTCGGACATGGTTTTGAAGCCTTTTATCAGGTGGTTAAAATCTTAGCTTGAACTCGGTCTAAGCCCCTGCCCGCGTCGAGTAACTCGAGCGGGTCCTAGTGAAACTTGTAAAAAGTGGTGTATGAAAATAAAGAGGGCCTCAAAATGCAACATAAATGTTTAAAAAATATTAAAACGAAAATTTTAAAATAAAAAAGTAAGCTATTATAATAATCATTAAAGTTCTATAAAGTTGGAATAACTGATTATAGAAAATCCAATAAAATGGAAAAGAAATATGCATCGAATAATAAGAAAAAAATCTTCATAAAAAACATCAAGACTATATGTAAACATAGTGATAACATAAATTTATATATTAATTTAAAAGTTATAAACTTTATGATATTCTAAATCTCCAAGTTTATACCTAGGAACCGAGATCGGCAGAGTGCCGAGTCTAGGTAACTTGACCGAGTTTTTGAAATTTATGAGCTTTACCACTCTTCTTAGCTATTGTAACTTTGATAGCTCTTATATGTATGGATGAAGTTTTTGTAAGGCCTAGGCTTTATGAAAACAAAATAAAGCCTCACCTTAAATAATCCGGAAAGCACTTTCGGCAATGGAAATTTCTATGATTGCTCTAAAATCAATTTCCAACCATTAGTAAAATTTGAAACTTAAAAAAATGTACAGATCTTACAAATCTATTGACACTTATTTATAGTACTAAATAGATGGCCTAGATAACTTATTACAATATATATTATTTTTAAAACTTGAAATCCGTTTTTTTTTTTACAACCATTCAAGCCGAGATGATCAATATAAAGGTTTTTCAATGCTTGAATTGCAATTTTCGATGAATTATGAGGTGAGGCTTTACTTACTTTGATAGGGCCGCAGCCCTATCAACCATTTTCCTTTCTGTTAGTTGGACTCTTTTATGGGCTTTGGAGCTCTTCATACCTATTCTAACTTGTGTAATGTTCAATGGCCAGAGTGATGATATCACAAACCATAAATGGTTGTCTTGCTTCATAGAAGATGTGTACTTTAGGTCCTCAGAGTCCCTTGCTAAAGTACAGGCTAGCACCCCATTGAAGCAAGAACAAGTAACAAGCTCCATGTTAGATAAAAGGGTGGAGATTTGGAGACAGTCCAGCACCCCATTAGAACAAGTAACAAGCTCCATGTTAGATAAAAAGGTGGAGATTTGGAGACAGTCCAGCACCCCATTAATGCAAGAAGTTGAGAAAGAACAAGTAACAGGCTCCATGTTAGATAAAGAAGTTGAGAAAGAACAAGTAACAGGCTCCATGTTAGATAAAAAAGTTGAGAAAGAACAAGTAACAGGCTCCATGTTCGATAAAGAAATGAAGAATTGGATACTGCCCAGCACCCCATTAAGGCAAAAACAAGTAAGAGGATCCATGTTAGATAAAAAAGTGGAGATTTGGAGCTCAGATAATGAGCCCACCTCTGTTCTTGATGCAAAATTTTCCGACGATTCTCCTTCCCATGAAAACACCTCGAGCGAGATGGAGATTTGGAGAGCAGACAATGAACCCACCTCAGTTCTTAATGCAAAATTTTCCAATGATACAACCCATGAAAACACTTTGAGAGATATGGATCTTGAAGACAACTTCAGCTCCATGACTGATCCAATCTATTCAGAGCCTACCCATCACAAGACACTTCAAGTGGAGGATACAAACATCATCACCACCTGCAAGTTTGAGAAAGACTTTTCTGAAATCCCCCGTGAGAAATCTCTGAGATTGATGAGTGGAATTGATAGCTTCTCCACTGTGATTGATCCAAACCCTAACGATATCGAACCTACAAGCCAATTCATAGTTAAAAATTCAGAATCCCCAGATTACAAGACCTTGAATTTGAAGTCCACAGATAGCAATGACGCCTGGGATTTTAACGTTCCCTTTCCAGAAATCCCAGATGCAAAGACTTTGCGATCAATTGCTCAAGATTATCGCTCGTCCACTATGTTTGATACACCATATCCAAAACGAAGTAGAAGTAGAAGAAAACCAAGAAAGTTTTGGCATCTGCTTGTTCCAAACACTTCAAAGAAGCAACGTCAATTCAGAGACAGACTCAATAAACTCTCAATATCTCAAATTATGATTTCGGGGGAATCATCAAGGTTTGTAAGGAGATGCATGCATTGCTTCACAGAGAAGACCCCTCAGTGGAGGAAGGGCCCTCGTGGGCCAAAGACTCTTTGCAATGCATGTGGCGTTCGGTACATGTCCGGTAGGCTCCTACCTGAATACCGACCAGCAGATAGTCCTACTTTTGTTCCTTCTCAACATTCAAATTCCCATAGAAAGGTGATCCAGATGAGGCAAAGAAGGGAAATACATCAGATGACGACGACGATGGCAAACGAAAATGATGATTGTTGCAGTCTTGACTTAGAATCTGACTTTCTTTAGTCGGATCTTCTAGTTTCGATAGCTTGGTATCATTCCTTTTGCAGGTAGTAATAGGAAAGAACTATAGAGAGGAAACACTAGCTAGCATGTTCACCATTTCTTTCATAGGTGCAGTTCGCATAAGGTTGTAACCTTATTTGTTGAAATAAGGTTGCACTAATAATCTACACCGTCCATTTTGGTTAGATAGTATAGATTTGACATGTTTTTTAAAGATAATACCAAAGTTATGCTATCTTTTAAGATAGGGTTAAATCTATACGGTGTACTTATTGTAACCTTACCAAGGTTGAAACATTTTCCTTCTTTCAATTCCATGTAAATAATAGACCAATTATTCAACATTTTATTTATTAATTTGTGAATATTTCTCATGTAAATATTGGACTAATTATTCACCAATTTCTTATATTTATTTGTGAATAGTTAACCTTATTGCGCTCTCTCTCTCTCTTATTCCTTACGTTACCTTTGAGCTCTGCCTTAGTGGGCATATTTAACCATTAATAATTTATCTACGGATACAAAAAAATATATGAAATGGGCCAATTATGGGAAAAAATTATAGAGGAGGTAAGTCAACCTGCATTTTTTTATTTTCTTCAGAATTGCTCATTGGTTTGAGGATGGCATTTTTATTTTCTTCAAAATTGCTCATTGGTTTGAGGATGGCATTTTTATGTTCTTCAAAATTGCTCATTGGTTTGAGGATGCCATCCTCATATTGCTTTTTATTTTTTATTTTTTATTTTTTTAGTTTTGTTATTAGTAGAGCTAAGTTCCAAGCATTCCGAGGATGGGGAGCATTCTGAGGATGGGGACCTCGGACCACTCTAGAACTGAGCCTTGAGTTGTAGCTCAATTCTAAAGCGGTCCAAGGATCCCATCCTTGAATGGCTCTTTGTTTCTTTTTTGCAGAAGAAAAGAGCGGTCCGAGGATGGGGACCTTGAACCGCTCTCTGGACTGAGCCAGGTAAGCCCTACTAATGAAAGAACTTAATAATCCTTGGACCACTCTTTGTTTTTTTTTTTTTGTGCAATAAAAGAGTGGTCCGAAGATGCGGATCTCTGACTGCTCTCTGGACTGAGCCAAGTGAGCCCTACTAATAAAATAACTAAAAATAAAAAGTTGAAGAGTGATTCGAGGATGGCATCCTCGAACAGATGGGTAATTTTGAAAAAAATAAGAAAACACCGATTGAGTGTTCTTCTACATAATTTTTTCTCAAAATTGGCCCATTTCATAGTTTCCTTTTTTGTGTCTGTACGTAAATTACTGTTTAAAAATTAAAAGTAGTATACATGTGGTCATTTAGATCAAGTGAACCACTCATCGTTTTATCTAAAAGATAGAAGATATATCATTTATTCTTTTGCACTAGGATAAGACGCGCTCTTATTGGGTTGTAATTTAATAAGTAAATAGTACATGATGGAGCTTGAGCAGAAAGTCAAATATTGATTCATTGATCAAGGGTCAGGATCTAGAGTTAGTCCCAATCAATAAGTTGGAACAACTTCATAAATATATATTTGAAAGGAAAAGGAAAGGGTCAAATTCTAACAAGTTTCAAATCAAAAAACAAATTGGCTAAATTGGCGAAACTCTTTCGATGAAGTACCAAAAGGCATGTTGCTACCGTTTCAAATAATATATAATGACCAAAATACCTTTTGAAACTTTAGGGCGATTTAAATCATTTTATTTTATTGAAAATAATTTTTTTTATATTTTTTACATGTGAAAATTTAGGAGAGCATTAGATGTCAAAATTTGGTGTCAAAATATTTTGTAGGAGGCAAATTAAAAATAAAATAATGTAGAGACATGACATTGTGATTGAGGCTCATAATGGATGGTTGGTTAGTTAAAGGGAAATATACAAGTTTTATGCTATAAGAGAAGTATAGAAAGCTTGCCCTACAATAAATCCATTGCTTAGGAATTAAAAGTAGCATGCATGCGATCATTTAGGGGAATACAATGAATCCATTGTTTAGAAACTAAAAGTAGCATGCATGCGGTCTTTAAAAACACAGAAAAATACTATTCTTTAGGCCACGTGGAGTCCATGTTATAATATAATAGCTGTAAACAAAAAAGAAAAAAGACCACGTAACAGAAAAAAAACCACGTAAACAGTGTAAATACACTCTTATTTCTACAAAAAAATTGCAACCTTCTATAAACATTTTTCATTATATAATTCGTATTGAATATTCTTTTTTATTATTATTTTTAAAAAAATAGTCACGTTTTCCTTTATATAATGCGTATTGAATATTCTTTTTTATTTTTTATTTTTTTAGGCACGAGGTCGAAGAAATACACCCTCAAAATTTAATCAGGGAGCTGATAAATACTATACATTGAATTTCACACAAGATGTGGGAGAGCCTAAAATCTCTTGCTAAAAGATTACCTACTCTACCCATCCACTCTCTCCGGCCAAACTTATCTAAATTTTGGGACATGATCTTTAAAACTTGGCAACCAACTTAAAAGAAAAAAAGAAAAGAAAAAGAATTAACTCTCTCCGTCTGTGGGCTAAAAAAATTGATAGCTGATTAAGTTAGGAACTATCTGATTTTTTTTTTTTGGGTCGGGGGGAGGGGGGGGGGGCTGATTGATCTGAACCTTTATGAACTCAAAATTAAATCTTTTTTATTAAAAATAATAATCTGATTATAATTTAATGGATACTGAAATTTCAAATAAAAAAATCTCCAAGTAAATATTTTACCGGAGGGTTATAATATAGTACGAGTACTCCCGAGGGGCATTATAGTAGGGAAAATGATTTGATAAGGCTGCGGCCTATCAAAGTAAGAAAAGCCTTCGCTCCTAAATCAAAAATTGCAATTCAAGCATTGGAAAACCTTTACATTGAACATTATAGCTGTAAAAAAAAAAAATTAGGATTTCAAGCTCTGAAATTAGTGTATATTGTAATAAATTATCTACGCAAGTCCATTTAGCACTAAAAATAAGTATTTATCTGTACATTTTCAAATTGCAACGCAAGTGCTGGAAAATGGTTTTAGAGCCATCATGGAGATTTTGGTTATCAAAGTTCTTCCGATTTGAGATAAGGTTATCAAAAATTGCAATTCAAGCATTGAAAAACCTTTACATTGAACATTATAGCTGTAAAAAAAAAATTTAGGATTTCAAGCTCTGAAATTAGTGTATATTGTAATAAATTATCTACGCAAGTCCATTTAGCACTAAAAATAAGTATTTATCTGTACATTTTCAAATTGCAACGCAAGTGCTGGAAAATGGTTTTAGAGCCATCATGGAGATTTTGGTTATCAAAAGTGCTCTTTTGATTTGAGATGAGGCTTTATTTTGATTTCATAAAGCCTAGGCCAAAAACTTCATCCTTATCATAGGGACCTTATCAACAAACAAAATTAAAACGACCATTTCTCCATCATTTCAGAACATAGGCATTTTTCGTTTTATAGATCTCATAACCCGCTCTAGGTTTTGCACTGGTTTTTGGGGCACGAGGTTGGGGCACGAGGTTGAAGCTTTCTTTAATGTAGAAGCGATTGGGATTTTGAAATTTTTTTCTGTTTAGCACTTTCAGTCCTTTTAGGAGCTCCCTTTTCAGCCATTAATGCTCCAGCTAAGAACTTGCCTCCTTATATTGAAGGCTCAACTTTTCCTTTTCTATGATTTGAGGTCTCTGGTTGTATAGCAACAGGAGTCTACTGGTTGTGTACTAAAACCCTAGTTTTCGCCATTAAAGCTCCAGAGCTCCATGTCCTTCTTAGAAAGCAGAGAGTTAAAGCTATAGAGAAACCCTATCGTTTCCGGCCATTGAAGCACAGTCTTAAGCTTGAGTTTTCTTCTTAGAAACCACAGAGTTGAAGATAAAAAAAAACCTTAAGTTTTCTCCATTAAAGCACGGCTTAGTTTGCTTTCTTAAAAGCTATAGAATTAGCTATTACAAAACTCAAGTGTTTCGTCGATTAAAGAGCTTATTTTGCCTTTTTAAGCATGGTTTCCAGGATTTTGTGAAGGCCCTTTGACTTTGTAAAAACTAAGGTACAAAACCGCTCTAAGTTAAAACCTAAAACTAGTTGGCTTAATTGTATTTTTTGTTTTTTTTAATTCTGTTTTTATTTTTGTTTTGTTTTGTAACGGTCACTCTATTAAAGTACTAGTAAAAATGGAGACCCTGACAACTCCTCTCACTACTAAACTTTTTAAAATGGAAAATATTAGGAAATCTATTTATTTTTCAAATAAATAAATAAATTCCTTGTATACCCAAATAATCGGTTAACCTAGTGCTAGGGTTTATCCCCCCAAGTCGTGTTCTTCAAAGTTATGGTTGCAGATAAGGTACGAGCTTTTTTCTTTTGTGTGTGAAGTTTAAGGTATGGGCTTTTTCATTGCATACGATTGCAGATTTTAGCAGTTATGGTGGAAAATCACTGTATGAAGTTTAGCTTTTTTTAATTCAATTTCATTTTATTTGGGATTTGAATTGGGTTGATCTATAGTTTTTGTGATTTTTTAATTAATTTTAAATTTATTTGTGATTTTATTTAGTAGTTATTTGTGTAAAATCATTATTTATGCATCTTATCAATTTCCAAAAAATACATTCCCCGCAAAAAAATCATCCCCCCCAAAAAAATCATCCCCCCAAGTCTTGTTCTTCAAAGCTATGGTTTCAGATCAAAGGTAGGGACTTTTTTTTGTAAGTTAAAGATATGGGCTTTTCCATTGCATATGTTTGCAGATTTTAGTAGCTAGTGTAGAAAATCGCTGTGTAAAGTTCAATTTTTTAAAATAAATTTTATTTTATTAGGGATTTGGATTAGTTTGAACTATAGTTTCGTGAATTTTTTGAATTAAATTTGAAATTACTTGTGATTTTATTTAGTAGTT